TTTTAAGCAGAGTTCAGTTGCTACCAGAATAGCAAGAATAAAGGGACACTAAGTGTCTTTGTGAGGCTACATTTTAACCCAAGAAACACAACTTAATCTAGAAAACAGTAGGAACATATTTTTTACATCACTTTAGAACTTTGCATGTATAAATGGAATCCTCAGCAAGTAAAGGCATGTCCAACTCTGTGCAGTTGGGAAATGACACGACAGGCTCACTGGAGGGGCCATCAGCACACTTGAGGATGATTTTGAGAGCAGACCCGTACTGCTCACATTTCCATTTGCTGTGGATACCTTGGCCGTGTTTTCGACATACAGTAGATTGGTTAGGACCAACCGCGGTCTTTGAGCACAAGGTCATCGAACAAGCAAACAGGTTTGGGCACTCGCTCATAGCCCTTCACAATTTTCAGGCACAGGAATCTCCCATAGGGAAGAAGGCATTAGGCTTTGTTTCTCTTATATGCTGGGAACTGTGCAAGACTGTTCTTTTGGAAGTAAAATTAGAACTGTACTGATTTGGGAAGATGGCCTTGAAGAACTACACTTCTCTTAACACACTTATGTATCCTGGCCACAGGCTAGAGGAATATATGCTGCTTTGATTTGGTGTTAGCTCTGCATTAATTACATATGCTTTCAGTTGAGGTACAAACATCTTCTAAGAAGATTGTCTGTGATGATTACTCGTGTGAACCTGATTGGATCACGACACCTAGAAAATAAGTAAAGCACACTCCTGGGTGTGTCCACATACTTCCAAAGATGACTGGATCTAAGGGCTCCAATTTCATCAATAGATCAATCCACTGATGCAGTCATAATCTGGTGGTATTGAAGAGTGAATCATGAGGTCATGACCTGAGGACCGTACCTGGTCCTTGAGCCTCTCTCTCTCATGGGGCTCTCTTGGTCTCTCTGCTTCCATGGGATGACATGAGCAGCTTTCTTCTTCTTCACCATTCTGTCATGATACTTCTGCCTTATCACAAGTCCAAAGCAATGGAAAGAGAGCCAACCATAGAATAGCACCCCCGAAACTGTTAGAAAAGTCTTTCCTCCTCTAGTTTGACTATCTCAGGCATTTGGTCATGGTGTGGAAAATCTGATGAGCATTCTGCCTCTATAAAAGGACTTCTGTCTCTCTAGAAAGCTGGTTGGTCATCCTGACAAAGCAATAGACCACCCCAAATGAGTCGATCAATGGCTGGGATCACTCCTGTGCCACCAGTAAGAGCCACACATTGGGACCACAGTAGTCTGGGCTATGTCTTCACATCTCTAGTTCTTGGTCAAGAGAGGAAGCCAAAATCAGACTTGAACTAACCTTTGTTGAGGTGAACTGACTCTCTTGTTGTTATGCACTGACGCAGTACACCTGCCAGGAACTGAGGTATGTATTGCCTTGAATCCCACAAGGTCTTCTGAGATAACAGGAGTCACACATAACCCAGGCTGAACAAAAAATGCCAGAGAATTGGCCCCAGAAGTATAGAACTATAGAATTATCAACTCTTTTTGTCCAGAGAACTAACTCACAAGTCTAAGTCCATTCTAAATACTAGTCAAACATTGTCACAGGTAGAATAATCATCCCTCTAAAGGACCATGTTAATCCTCACAACTTGTGGATATTTTACATTATATGTCAGGGAAAGTAAGTTTGTTTGAGATGGGGAGAGTGCCTTGAACTGTTTTCACTAAAAATGAAAAAGGGCAGCAGAAGAGGTACAGTGTGAGGACTCGACACAAAATGATGATTTCAAAACAGGGAAGGGGGCTACAGGCCAAGGATAGCAGGTGGCCCCTAGAAACTGGGAGAAAGAAAACAAATTACCCTAGATCCCCCAGAAGGAAAGTAACCTTGTCGATGCCTTGATGTTAGCCTGATGAGACCCATGCTTCATGAACATCCAACCTACAGAACTGTAAGATAATACATTTGTGCTGGTTTAAGCTACTAAGCTTGTGGTTATTTGTTCCAGCAGCAAGTCACATAGGCACCTTCTGTGACCAGGTACTAAGCCAGCCATGGGAAAGCAGAGGTGCTCAGCCTCCCAAGAACACACAGTGCTGTGTGTAGGGAGAGAAAAGTATACTCATGTAGCTAAAGCGAAATGCTCTACTGAAGTCTTGCACTGAGCTCTGAATACCCACTGACCAGAGATAGTCTCCCTGGTCTGGGAAATCCCAGGAAGTTTTCCTGGATGGAGAGACTTTTCAACTGAGCCCAAGAGACCAGCGCAGGGGCCTGGACTGAACAGCTCCACACTCATATGGTGTAGGGCTTTCCAGTTAGCCCTCCTTGGGAGCATAAGTGCTGATGTGGGAGCCTTTCCTTATTGTCCAGACTAATCTAGGCCCTCAATCCTCAAAATATGGCCCAATGACCAGGAGCATCAGCCTCTCACAAGAAAGCTTGTGAAAAATGCTGGCTCCCCAGACTGGCCCTGCCCAGCTAGGTACAATCTGCCTTCCAACACAGCCCCCAGTAGACTCCTGCATGGTACCAGTTGAGAAGCCTGTCCTTAATAACACATTCTCAATCTCCCTGTTCAGCATAGAGGGAACCGCCCCCAGGTTCCAGAGCTGTCTCACAAGTATACACCTGACAGGGCTCCCTCAGAAGACCCATGTGTTGTGTGGCCAAGCTCAAAACAGTGTACCTGGCCTCTGTGCTGTCTCTCAGCGTTTGCATAAATGTCACACACGTGATCCACTCATACAGCTCCTAGGCAAACATTAAACTGGTTTTATTTCATAAAAACATGGTCACAAATATCACCTATTTCTTGGTTAGAAAATGTGACTTTAGCTTCAGCTCTAGTAATGCTAATGGAGCAATTTTTTCTCTAGGCTGATGACCTCACTCCTGTGGCAACTTACCCAAACAACTCAGTTTTCAGATCTCTGAGTTTTAGTTTACTCCTACCATCATCAGTGAAACTCTCAAGAGGTCATGCCAAAGCCAACACTACACTCTCAGAATTTCAGTTCTACAAGACGAACAACAATCCCTCATGGACTTAGAGCTGTGGTCCCCAACCTCCTTGCTGTGCTGGGAGGAACTCTAGCTGTAGTTGGCTGTGGATCCTACAAACACTCGGGCTATCTCTTACTCCACTGGAAGGCCAGAGGCATTTATTTATTTATTTCATGATTGATTGATTGTGGGAATCAAACTCAGGATCTTGTGCTTACAAAGCAGGCACTTGTACCACTAAGCTATATTCTCACACCGGCACTTTTACTAAAGGGGTTGAGATTCTGTTATCTCTGCAGCACAACTAACTCCAGCTTTCTGAGGGTTTGTGCAAAGCACTGGACAGTATTCTGCACTTAGATGGAGTGGAAGCATGATGTTTTGAGGCTGCAATCTTCAATCTGAGATTTTATTTCTGACTTGACATTTTTAAACTGAAGCCCAAGGGTACAAAGGGAACATACACTGGGGATTTGAAGCCTATGTTCCCAGGGTCCCATCTCCCTCTGCTCAGCCCAGGGTCCTCTCTCCTTGCCCCTTAGACTGGAACTGGGCTCAAAGAGTGTCAGCCACTCATCCCCAGGGCACCTGCACCCCAGCTGACCGAGTGGCAGGACGGTGTCCCTAGCTGAGTCTGCACCCTTCCTTGTGGACTTTTATTTCCCAAGAGAATGTGACACAAAATAGTAAGTTAGAAAAAAAGTCAGGAGAGACCACAAAAAAGAGGAGAAAACTTTTTTTTCACTTTCTTTGAATGGTTGTAAAGTCACCATAAGATTACCTTATCTATTTTTAAGTGCTCAGTCCAGTAGTATGAAAGTATTCACAATGTTCCACAATCATTCTGTAGAAACATTTTCATCCTGCAAAATGTAAAACTCTGGATCTATTAAACCCTAATTCCCCACCTCCTGCTCCCCTGAGTTCCTGTAACCACCATTCTTCTTTCTGTTTCTCTGAATCTGACCACTCTATTTCATGTAAGTGGGATCATACTGGTTTTGTCTTCTCGTGACAGTTTTAGTTCACTTAGACAGTGTCCCCAAGGTTCACCTGTGTTGTACCAAGCATCAGAATTTTCTTCTTTTCTTAGGCTAATACTGTTCCATCGCATGTGGAGCCCCCATTCTGTTTATCCATTCATTCATCAGTGAACACTTGCGTTGCTCCCGTCTCTTGGCTAATGACGCTGTACCCAAGTGTGTGCAAACAACTTTGATCTTGCTTTCAACTTGCTTGGGTAAATACCTGAAAGTGAAATCGCTGGGTCAAGTGCACTCTTGCTTTTTGAACATTTTTATTTTAAATTGGGCTATGTAAGTTATGCAGCTGGCTCTGCCATAGCCAGCCAGGGTATGGATGAATCATCAGTATCGAAGGGCAGCCAGACTAAAAGTTCTCCACCAGCTCTCCAAACTAACAGTTTAAAAAAAATATATACATGACCTCCTAGTGGTGCTACCACAGTGGAGAAAATGAAAAAAAAAAAAAAAAAATGAGGCTCTGAGCACAGGAGCTCACCCCCACCTGCATCGCCACCAATCAGGAGACATTCTGGAGGTGGATTTCATTTGCCCACGCATGTCAATATTCAGTGTGTGTTACTGAACACAAACTAGGCACCTGATCCACCAAGAGCACTGAGGACAGAGCAGTAAGCAGCGCACACAAGGGGATCATGTGCAACTAATTCGCATCTGATGGCTTGATTTTTTTAAATCTCTTAATATGTTTATTTTAAATTTTGGGGCTTCAGAGTTGTGGTTCTGAAAACAAAAATCACTAGGTGTCCTGCCCCACCTCCCCACCCACTGGCCCAAAAGTCGCTGCAGAGAGGGCATTTATGCTGCTCTGAAACACAAAATACATAGAAACAGCATCAAGTGTGAATGGCACAATGGCATGGAACAGGCCCGAAGACCCATCAGACAGAGGTCACTGTGTGGGGATAGTCTCAAGGTGTCATTTGAGTGAGGATATGCTGCTGCGGTGGAGCTGAAGTAGTGCTGCCTGCCTACAACTTGTCCAGGAAGTTGTACAATGCTGGGATGCCCTCCTTCAGGCCCTTGTGCTTGCAGGTCTCCACAACCACCTGCTCGGGTGGTTTCTGTTGTCAAAGGGATCACCAGGCAGGATCTGCCAGTGGTCAAACACACACTGGATGAAGGCCTGGCCACCCATGTTGAACCACAGGTCAGAAGTGAAGCCGAAGAACTCACTGAAGGGCAGGTAGGCCTTAACCACAAACATGCCAGCTACCTGGGACTCCTGGAAGACATGGCCTTGCTTCCTGTTCAGAACACCATAGATCCCCCCCAAGCGCTTGGTCTGGGCACTGAATCTCCACAAGGTAGATGGGCTCCATGAGGTGTGGCTGTGCTGCCAGCATATTAGCATATAGGCAGCGCTGCATCATGGGGATGATCTGACCACCCCCACGGTGGATGGCGTTAGAGTGGATGGCACTGGCATGCAGGGTCACATCATGGACATCAAAGTGCACTCCACACATATTTTCCTCACATAGTACCCCCTCCTTGTTGGCCCACTGGAAGCTGGCCACCACACTATCCTTGATCTCATTGAGGTGCTGCATCCCCCTTGGTGATGTCAATGAAAATGTTGGGGCCAGTGCCATCGAGGCCAAAGCACCAGATCTTGCAGGCCTCTGCCACATCCCACTCATACTTCTCAGTCAGGTAGCAGGCACATTGCTTTAGCTCCTGGCAGGTAGACACCTCACCCTTGTCAATGTCCTCAGCCAGGTTGTCCAGGAAGGGCCGTGCCTTCATGTTCAGGTGGTTGTGCTTTTTAGGGGGCTTGGAGAGGCACATCACATTCAACTTCTCACTCACTGTCTTCTGGTATGAGACCACAGGGTCCGATTTCTTGATGGTGATGCAGGTGTGGTCCCCCTCCAGGTCCTTGAGGCAGATCTCCAGGTACAGCTCGCCAGTGCCCGCGATATTGTGCTCTCTTGACTACTCACTGATGTACTGCACTGAGTATGGGATGGGACTTGGCCAGCCGCTTTATCCCCTCCACTAGTTTGGGAAGGTCAGCCAGGTTCTTGGCCTCCACAGTCACTCAGACTACAGGGCTGACACTGAACTTCTTCACATGCATGCTGTAGGCATGTTCAAAGGTGGTGATGGTGCCAGTCTTCACTAGGAACTGGTCCACATCCACCAGTCCCATGATGTTCCCACAAGGCACGTTCTCAATGGGCTCCACATAGCGGCCCATCATCAGAGTAGTCCTCTGGATGGGCTTCAGGCAGAGGTCCTCCTTCTTCCCAGGGATATAGTTAGGGCCCATAATCCGGACCTTCAGGCTAGTGGACACCAGCCCCAAGAAGAGGCATCTAAAGGCATAAAACCAATCTTAATTGGAGGATGACACCATTTTAGAAGTGTGCATCTTTAAGGGGCCTTTGGGATGACAGCTTTTAATGGTATTTAATACCACAGTACTTCTGTGCTGTGACAGGTGACGGCAAGTGGATCATGATCATCTGCAGCAGCACATCCCCAGCTGGCAGCCAGCGGCGCATCACAGCCTTGAGCAGGGGCTTGCCCTCTTTGTCTTTGTCCTCGCTGTCCAGCTTAACGTGCAGTTTCTCAATCAGCTTTGCCATCTCCTCTTTCTTGAAGTTGATGATTGCGTCAAACAACTTGAAGATGAGGTCCAGGATGAGCTGGCAGAAAGTATGGGGCAGCTTCCTTCTGTCAGGGCTGGGGGCTGACTTGCTAAACTTGCCACTGGCTGGGTCAAAGTACCAGTCCCCCCACAGCTTCTTCATCATGTCTTCTACCTTCTTGGCCTTCTCAGCAGGCCCCAGCTGGCCCTCCCCCTTGGCAGAAAACTTGGCCACATACATCTCTGCAAACTGCTTCAGGGTGAAAGCCCAGCCATGCAGGCCAGAACCAAGGCCCACAGTACCAAGGACAGAGTCAATCATGGTGTTGCCTATGGGGCCACTCTTGCCCTTACCATAGGTGGAGATGATGATGTTGACATTCTCCACAGTGTGCTGGAAGGTCTGGTACAGCTCCTCAGGCTCCAGCTGCAGCTTGAGCAGGGCACAGTCCATCTTGTTCATCATGAGTACAGGCTTGATGCACTCGGTGATGGCCTGTCACAGAACTGTCTCTGTCAGCATGCATGTGGCTGACATACAATCCACCACCACCAAGGTGCTATCAGTGACACGTAAAGCAGCTGTCACCTCTGAGGAGAAGTCCATGTGCCCAGGGGAGTCGATGAGGTTGATGAGGAAGCCAGAGCCATCCTTGCTCTGCTTGATAAAGTTCAAGTTATTCTCAGAAAGCTCATAGAAGAGGGAGACAGCGGTTGACTTGGTGGTGATACAGCGCTTCTGCTCATCCTTCTGGGTGTCAGTGAAGTGGGTCTCACCAGCACAAGCAGACACGATGATGCTAACTTTGCATACCAGGGAGTGCCTCAGAGTGGACTTGCCATGGTCCACATGGACGATGACAGACACATTGCGGATGTTGGCCTTCTTGTCCGTGATGGCCCGGATCTGGTCTACAGTGAAGTTCACCACAGTGGCAGATGTTGCCAGATTCTCCCAAACAGACCCGACTGAATTGAGCCACACCAGGGATCACAGCAATAATGACAGAAGAGGACATCTGATGGTTTATCATGGCAAATACTATACAGGACAAGTGCTAAGGTCTATCCAGAGAGAAGGAGCTGCCTATGCATTGATCTCTGTAAGAGACTGAAAAACTAGGGTGGGAGTGTCTAAATGGGTACTTGAGATGATCTTAGGCATCAGATCAGTATCTTTTATTTTTAATAGGTGCATTATCACTTTATGTTTAGAAATGTCTATCTGTATGTTAAACTGTATTTCTTAAGTGTCTTTTGGGTGGAGCTCATTTGAAAGAAGGACGTTACATGAATATAAATAAATATAAACCAAACATAAAGGGAATGTTAAAAATATAAATTCAACAGAAACTATACTTGACAGTACAATTCAAATAACTGCATTTTCAGAAATTACTGTGGATTTTACAAATATGAATTTTAGTATAGGTACTTTAAAACTTAAGAGAATGAGGACTAAGATACATCTCAAACCATAGGGCAGAAGAAACGTCCACATAGGGAGGGCCTTCAACTCACTCCAGGGCGTTCAGGAAAGGCTTCCTGAGATTGTTCATGGAATGGATTGTATTCTTTTAATTACTCATCCTGGGTGGATTTGTTCGAACTCCTCCTCTGCCAGCGGTGGCACCTGCTAGTTTTGGGCTTAAACAAGAAGGTTAATTTCCAGATAAAGATGTTCAGTTGCCTCGTGGTGGCCTTGAGCCCCATAGTGACAGTTCTCCTTCAGTCTGTGTGCTTTGTTCCCACTTTTATCTCAGCACCTGTTTTACCACACCTCTCACTGCACACTTCCTTTCTCAATATATTTCCAAATGACAAGGTGGAAAGTGGCTGTCCACACTCTTCTGTCGGTATCTCTCCTAGTCAAAGGATCAGACCTGCTGATATTAACATTTCTCACTTCTAAGTTCTGATTGCCAGGGAAGTGATTCTGCTTGATTAATCACAGGTGACTCAGAAGCAGGGCCTACTCATATGAAGACGCTTGTGGTTGCCATGTGGATCAGGGAGGTGGCACTTCCCAGAATCTGGTGAGGACTTGACAAATCCTTATTCCTGCAGCTATCCATCTCTTTTGTGTCCAGCACAATGTACAAACTGCAAAATGAGAGTTTCCTCTTATGTCACCCTGAGGATAATAGTTGCATGGTCAGAGACCTAAAGTGAAAGGAGACCTTGACTCAACTTGGGCTGGGACACAGGAGTTCTTTCACATAAAGGGAAGCAGAACCATGTGCCCACCAGATGCTTAGGACTGCTGCTATTTTACCCTATAGGAAGGAAGTGAGCATAATTTGGCTAGCTCTAACATTTTTATACAATCCAATCACCTCTCAGGAGTCTTTTAATGCAGTCAAGTTGACAACCAAGATTAACCAGCACAATTCTGGAACTTACATTCTGTCATTCCACTAATGTCTGGATGAATGGCAGTGGATATCCTGAAAAGGAGTTGTTAGGCTTTCACAGAGGTGGGCTACTGGTTCTGCCTGCCCTGCTGGCTAATGGAATGAAAGGGCTTCCCTCTAATGGTCAAACAAGAAAAGAGCAGGGAGGGATAACAATTTCTACCTTGCTCGTTTGTTAAACACTAAGTAATAATATGTATTAAGTGCTTGTCTCACCAGCAGCACTCAGCAAAAGAGGCTGTTCGATCAGTAGTCAGGTGTTCAGTGGAGGTGAATGACAGCAGTGATGACAAGGGCCACAGCTTCCCCTGCCCAGCGGGAGCAGCAGCACTGTCCATGGTATGCCTGCCTCTCATCAGCTTTCACTCTGTGAGCCTTCCAACAGGATCTGTCTCTCTTTGGCCTGAAACCCCACACCTTACTCCCCTGACATGGCAGCAACTAACACTGAAGTCAATGGATAGATCTGAGTGACTTACACTAACCCATCAATTCAGTGAAGCAACTACTATTGATTTCTGGGGCTTTTCCTCCCTGGTGGTTATTTAACTGAATTGATAGTAGCTCTGTGGAATTGATTACACCAGCCAATTCTTCTAGTGTGATAGAGACAAAATGATAGTGTGCTCCCCAGAAAACGAATGAATCTGCTCATTTAAAGAATGTTCAGGCAAATAATTTTTTCCAATGGAAGTGGTTTTTCTTCTTCACTTCTGCAAAGGGAATCAGAAAACATTTAAGAAGACTCTCATTGCATATCAATATGATGATAAGCTGGCTCCCTTTCAAGTTGTTGTTGTTGTTGTTGTTTTACCATTCTCAAGAACTGATTCAATGTGAAATGAATCATGGAGCAACAGAGAGACAGACAGACAGACAGACAGACAGACAGACAGACAGACACAGACACAGACACAGACACAGACACAGACACAGACAGAGTTTAGCCAGCTCTAAGTCACTGAAACCATTGTGTTTTGCATGTTCCACTGCCACAACTACAAGTCAACCTCATCAAAGATGATTTTCAACATTAAATGAAAGTGTAGACTCTTAAGAAAGTCAACCATATACCAACTCTCAGGGGTGACGATCTAAACACCTAGGGTTTATATTTTCTTCTCCCAAGGTTGCTATCAGTAGTTTTCAGACAGCACCACACTTGTTTTCACTGACAGTGGTTAGAAAAACAGATGCTAGGACAGGACTGAGGGTGCAAAGTAGAAGACAAGTAGGGCAAGAGCTGGCATGAGTGCATTCTGAAACCCTTCTTTGAGTCACTAAGCCCTATCTTCCCTCATCCTGGAGGAGAGATAGGCTTCCAGACTCCCTTTTAGGAAATGGATTATAGTTTAATATTTATTAACTTTTCAGAAAAATTGGTCTCTGTGTGAGTCTTCGCTTTTGTGATTGTTATTCCTACATTGTGCTGAAATTATAGGGTTATTAAAATTAACATGCAACTGAAATGTGCATTGTGAAGACATGAAACTGGCTCACCATACAGAACTATAAATCAGGTGACTTGAAATATGCAGTGTATGTTTCACATTTTTATACAAAATGAAGTATATCATTCTTACTAACTCATAATACAGGGTGACGTTATTAAGGTTACGTTGACATAATGCTGATTTTTAAAAAGTTGATTTGCTTTTCTATATTGATAAATTTATGATGTACAAAAGATAAGTCAAGGAACAAGTCTCTGAGCTAGGGAGAGAGCTCAGTGGCCTAAGCACCTGCCAGGCAAGTGTGAGGACCCAGATTCCATCCCCAGTACTCCATGCTGTGCTGGCTTCATGCTGTACTGGTCGCCAAATCTGAGCATGGTGGTGCATGCATGAAATCCCAGCACTGGAGAGGCTGAGACAGGAGGATCACTATGAGTCCAAGCTGTGTAGAAAAACCTGTGGCAAATGAATAAATAAGTATTTTTTTAAAAGAAAAAGAAACAAGTCTCCCTCCTTGAAAACTAATGAAGAATTGTGAGTTTGACTGTAATGCACTCAAAAGAGGGTAAAAAATTTCTCAATGGTATTAGAAGACCATCCACAAAGTGGCAGATTATATATGAGTAGAGACAGTCATTAATGAATAAAATCTCTTAGTGAACTAGAAGTCAAAAGGAAATCTCTTAACCTGACTTTTTAAAAGTATCTGCTAAAATCTCACAGCAAGTGCTAGTCCTGATGTCAGTCATTGAAACTATTTTTTTCTAAAATGAAAAACAAGGCAAACAAGACTTTGTAGTGGTTTGTTAACTGGTGGTCAACTTGCTACATCCAGCTGAATTGAACTAGGGTGGTGCTGGGTGTGGGAGAACCAGCTGAGGATGGTTGCCAGAAGCATAAAGACAGGACAAGAGAAGCAGTAGAGAGGCTCTTATAGAAACTATTTGGAGAAGCTTTGGAGTTATTAGAAGCTGTGAGTTCTCTTGCATTATTCTGCTGGGTACCTTGTCATTCTGGCTTTCCTGATGGACATGACTGGTCTTGTTGGAGGAAGAGCTTAGGACCTCGTTGTTGCTAAGAATGGCTACAGTTATTTTGGGGAGGCTCTGGTCCTCGTCATGGGCATCACTTCCTGATTCCACAGGGGAAGATGGTGCACTGCTCAGCCTTGTGGAGGAGCTTGTCACATTGACTTTCCTGATGGGAACTCAGCTTTCCTCCTCAGGGGAGGAGGGTGGGACCTCATTGCTGCTGAGGATGGTTGTGGTATGTTTGCAGGGAACTGTTTTTTACTTTGAGAGTTGTTTCCTGGCCCCAGTTCAGATCTCTCAGTCTGTTAACACAGATCCTTCATCCCACTGACATAGACTTTCTAACTTCCAATACTGACCTTTAGGCCTTCCCAGCACAGATCTGTGAAGCAGGCCTTCACAAGACATTGTCATGGGCTCTAGGCCTCCAGTTGGACTTGTGGGAGGTATTGTTATGGGCTGTAGGTTTTCACCTGGACTCATGCAAGATGTTGGGATCCAGGCCTTCAGCTGGATTCTTTGGTACTTAGTGTGTGGACAGATTTCCTACACTCTTTGTAAATGATTCTTTGGGTGATTATAAAACAATCTTATAAAAATGTGTCCTGTAATGTATTATTCCTCTTACAAAAAAAAACTCAAGCCATGACAGCCTGTAACCAGAACTCCTGGTCAATATTACAGTATTAGAGATTCTGCCAGAAAAGTAAAAAAAAAATAAATCCTACAAGGGTTGAAAATAAAAAAGCAGACCATCTTTCCAAAGTTGATATGATTGTGCATAAAGAAAATCAAGAGCCATTCATAAATATGTAGGATTAAAAAGAGAGTTCTACACTGCTATTTCATACAAAAATCTATGTGCAGTAAGTTTCCAACTTATGAATGAGTTCCATTCTAGGAAAACATTTATGAATCAGAATCATTTGTAAGCCTGACAAAGTGCGTCTTGCATACCTTTGACATAAGTATACAATGAGTATTGCCTTACACTTCCTAACAGTTCCCTCCATATCACCACTGCTTTTCCTCTTGTTCTCAGACAGCTTGCAC